CCTTTGATCATTTTCCGAATCAGAAGCTGCAGCTGGAAGTCGCTTTCAGCAGGAATCAGGCTGAAGTTCTGGTTTGGTTCTGACCCAAACCAGAACTTCAGCCTGGTTCCGACCGGTCAGAGGATGGGACTGACGTTACCAGCTCAGGGTGCATATACTGTATTCCTGATGGTTTATCTCCAGGCTGCGCATGAAGGGAACCTGGACCAACTCGCCTTCTTTAAACACACGACTGCCAACTCCTGCACATGAGGCCAATTTTTTTCATCAGTGAGAGCAACATGCTACCGCTATCACAGACAAGCAACATGCTACCGCTATCACAGACAAGCAACATGCTACTGCTATCACAGAGAAGCAACATGCTACCGCTATCACAGACAAGCAACATGCTACTGCTATCACAGAGAAGCAACATGCTACTGCTATCACAGACAAGCAAGATGCTACTGCTATCACAGACAAGCAACATGCTACTGCTATCACAGAGAAGCAACATGCTACCGCTATCACAGACAAGCAACATGCTACTGCTATCACAGACAAGCAACATGCTACCGCTATCACAGACAAGCAACATGCTACTGCTATCACAGACAAGCAACATGCTACCGCTATCACAGACAAGCAACATGCTACCGCTATCACAGACAAGCAACATGCTACCGCTATCACAGACAAGCAACATGCTACCGCTATCACAGACAAGCAACATGCTACTGCTATCACAGACAAGCAACATGCTACTGCTATCACAGACAAGCAACATGCTACTGCTATTTATTGTTTAATTCATTAGTGTGCGCGTGCGTGTGTGTGTGTGTGTGTGTGTGTGTGTGTGTGTGTGTGTGTGTGTGTGTTTCTGCCTCCATCCCGTTGCTCTTTGGCTCCACTTCAATACCACTGAATCATGGCAACTGACTGATTGACTTTACACCTTTTCAGGCAGTTCAGTGGCAGAAGACGGATAAAAACACCAAACCGATAGAAAAGCAGGAGACTGACTGGCTCTGAATGATGTGTAACTTGTGTTTCAGTGGGAGCTCAGTGATCCCCATCATGAATCATTTTGCTCAGAGTCACTGCAGTAATGGGAATAACATTCAGGTTTTGGAATCTGAATGTTATTCAGATTCATTGTGAATGTGAATCATTGGTTTGGTCTGTGGGAGATTCTGTGAAAAGATTCTGATTTAATGAGGGTGAACTGCTTCTCTTCATCTGCAGCATCCTGCCCTCTGCAGCTGAGACCCAGCCTCCGTTGAAGCTTCAAACGCTTCAATCTGATTTTAGCCACTCGCTAGCAGCTGTCTCTGTGCCGTGGATCTGTCCTCCTCTCATTGTTTTCCACTTTCAGATCTAAGCAGGAGAAGGAGAGGTTGGATCATGTTGCCTCTGCAGGCGGCAGCCATGTTGCCTCTGGAGGCGGCAGCCATGTTGCCTCTGGAGGCGGCAGCCATGTTGCCTCTGCAGGCGGCAGCCATGTTGCCTCTGCAGGCGGCAGACATGTTGCCTCTGCTTGCGGCAGCCATGTTGCCTCTGCAGGCGGCAGCCATGTGGCCTCTGCAGGCGGCAGCCATGTGGCCTCTGCAGGCGGCAGCCATGTTGCCTCTGCAGGCGGCAGCCATGTGGCCTCTGCAGGCGGCAGCCATGTCGCCTATGGAGGCGGCAGCCATGTCGCCTATGGAGGCGGCAGCCATGTCGCCTCTGCAGGCGGCAGCCATGTCGCCTCTGCAGGCGGCAGCCATGTTGCCTATGGAGGCGGCAGCCATGTCGCCTATGGAGGCGGCAGCCATGTCGCCTATGGAGGCGGCAGCCATGTGGCCTATGGAGGCGGCAGCCATGTCGCCTCTGCAGGCGGCAGCCATGTTGCCTCTGCAGGCGGCAGCCATGTTGCCTCTGGAGGCGGCAGCCATGTTGCCTCTGGAGGCGGCAGCCATGTTGCCTCTGCAGGCGGCAGCCATGTGGCCTCTGCAGGCGGCAGCCATGTCGCCTATGGAGGCGGCAGCTATGTCGCCTATGGAGGCGGCAGCCATGTCGCCTCTGCAGGCGGCAGCCATGTGGCCTCTGGAGGCGGCAGCCATGTGGCCTCTGCAGGCGGCAGCCATGTGGCCTCTGGAGGCGGCAGCCATGTAACCTCTGCAGGCGGCAGCCATGTTGCCTCTGGAGGCGGCAGCCATGTAGCCTCTGCAGGCGGCAGCCATGTCGCCTATGGAGGCGGCAGCCATGTGGCCTCTGCAGGCGGCAGCCATGTCGCCTATGGAGGCGGCAGCCTTGTCGCCTATGGAGGCGGCAGCCATGTCGCCTCTGCAGGCGGCAGCCATGTGGCCTATGCAGGCGGCAGCCATGTTGCCTCTGCAGGCGGCAGCCATGTTGCCTCTGGAGGCGGCAGCCATGTGGCCTCTGCAGGCGGCAGCCATGTTGCCTCTGCAGGCGGCAGCCATGTGGCCTCTGCAGGCGGCAGCCATGTGGCCTCTGCAGGCGGCAGCCATGTTGCCTCTGCAGGCGGCAGCCATGTGGCCTCTGCAGGCGGCAGCCATGTGGCCTCTGCAGGCGGCAGCTATGTCGCCTATGGAGGCGGCAGCCATGTCGCCTCTGCAGGCGGCAGCCATGTTGCCTCTGGAGGCGGCAGCCATGTTGCCTCTGCAGGCGGCAGCCATGTTGACTCTGCAGGCGGCAGCCATGTTGCCTCTGCAGGCGGCAGCCATGTGGCCTATGGAGGCGGCAGCCATGTCGCCTCTGGAGGCGGCAGCCATGTTGCCTCTGGAGGCGGCAGCCATGTTGC